CTTATTTAATATGTATTTATGTTTATACGACAACAGCGGGCGTGCGTAAAGTTGAACACGGGTGCTCTCTACGCCGCGCTGTGGACGACTGGCATCTGGCAGGAGGCAGGACTGTTTGGTCGGCCCGCGCGCTATTTAATCGCACAATATTTGTTTGATATTTCTTTTTAAAATGATATATACGCTTTTATTGAAAAATAAACCCATAATTCACTCACGAATTTAATTATATTATATATATATAATAGCCTGAATTTAATTGAAATTGATTGCATAAAATTCGAATGAAACTGCTTTTTCACTTAGTGGACGTACCCAAAATTGTAGATTTTGAGGAAATTTTGAAATCCTTTTCTATTGAGCCAAAATGTGTCAATTGTCTTCTGGCTACCATAGTTCACTAAGAAAAATCTTTAACCTTCATAATGAATTTAAGAAAAAATGTGAATTTGTAGTTTTTAATGCAAAAAATTGATTTTCTCCGCACCTACAAAGCGTGAAAAATCTGATTTTGGCCCCCATTTTACCTTAAATTGCCGATAAAAATATAAACAGGCATAGATTTTCATAACACTATCAGTAACAAACAAGTTAAAAGTTGCCATCTCTCAGAACTAAGATAATGCTCCACCGACTCGATTACTGGCGTGTGGGGTAAACCTTCAAACAGAAACATTACAGTAAATGTACTAACTGATTGGTAACAGAAATTATGTTAGGTTGGAACTATCTGGAAGACTTTTGCCGTGGAATGGCGGTGTAAAAGATCCTATCATCCTATTTCGTCTCATAGATTTCGTAAAAATTCACTATGTGAAATTCTAGTAAAATCTTATAGCTCCCGGTAGCAGTGCAACCACATAGTTTACGTCAAACGTAAAATACACAGAGAGGCGACTGACAGCAGCGCCAAGGTGCGGGAAGTTTGGCACAGCTATCGTTAATCAGTCAGCCAAGATAGACCCATGACCAGCAGTCAATAATTAAGGACTCATATATCTATACATATAAAGTTAAAAAGTTACAGACTATATACGTCCCACTCCTGGGCACAGGCCTCTGATCATTTCTGAGAGGGTTTTAGGGCAAGGAATTTTCCGCCGCGATGTCCCAATGCGTGTTGGCGAACTTCACATGTCTTCAAAATACTTTTTTTATTATTTCTCAGACATGTAGGTTTCCTTACAATGTTTTCCTTCACCGCCGAGCACGTGGTAAATCAGCACTTAAAATTGCAATTAACAATTTCATTGGTGCCGGCGGGGATCGAACGCAGTTTGCACGCGTACCGTGAAATTCACAGCGAGCGCTAACCATCTGAGCTACGATGGCACTTCTGAGCTATCACGGCACTTCTATACATATAAATAAACTTATACAGTCTTACTACAAAAAAGCATTTAAACACTGGTCCAACATGTGTTTAGTTAGACACGGACTTAAATGATAAACACATTTTAAACAATTCTCCTAAACCGTGTTTAACGCGTGCCTCTATAGACAACGTTTAACTTTATTCTCCAGGTCACACTGCAATACATTCGTTGAGCATTCGATCATTCGTTTTGTTTTACGCAAATTAATACGACTAACTACGTAAAAATTTAATTTTGTTTTGTCTCAAAGTTCGATAATAAAAAAAGATATATATATATTTTTATATATATATATATATATATATATATCTTGTAAAATTTTATGAATTATTTTATTTTGAACAAAAACAAATAAAATTGTAAATATTAGGCAACATACAGGCTGACGGGTGAAGCTATTCTTCTCTACCACGTGTAAGCATAGTTTAATTTTGTATGAATCGAACTTACTTGATGACGAGTCCAGTACCGTAATGCACAAGCCACTTGCACTGCTGGATCTATTGTGTTACCACGAGAATCACTCGGGATATCGTCTTTCACAAGATCTAATATTTTTCTAGCAAAAAAGTTTGCTGAACCTACATTTTTTCTTAAACTTAGCGTCGTCGTATTTTTCAAACCGATTAACCCTCACACGAACCGTATTACCACAGTCTATATTATACTGTGGTATTACTTTATCGGAACATTTCCACATAGTTATCTATGTCGTCTTCATCGAAGTAATCAACAAAATCAATTATATCCATGTTAAATAAAAATATTGAACTGACGGAAAGATAGGTTAGACACTAGTTAAACAAGGGTTTGCGGCTGTTTAAATTTAAACAACGACTCAGCCGTGTCCATCCATAAACCACCGTTAAACACTCTTTTGTAGTAACCAATTTGCTAAACACGTGTTGAACAGATGTCTAACTTTTTTGTAGTAAGACAGATAGTGTATGTATGTAATATTGAAATAACTGGCTTCTATTAAGCTCATGTTATTATTTGCATGCTGTTAAGTTATAAATAACCATTTCATGTGTTTGTCTGCCTGTCTGTCTGTATTTCCGGCTAATCTTTGGAATGGCTGAACCGATTGTGATATAACTTAAGAAACAGATTGAGAACAATGCCAGGAGCGATCTAGGCTATTTGTTATCCGAAAAACTTGATAAAATACATGGTGTTTGATTATCATAAATGTATACAACCTCACATTAATAAATCCTTTCCAGGCGATGTCGGAGCGGGTAGGTAGTACTATATAAAACCACCTACTACATAAAAATTTGGTAAATAAAGATCTAATAAGAAATGTTTGAATGAACGTAAGTAATATATGAAATGATCCGCACAATTAAGCGGAAAAAGCTCATTAAGTAGACTGTCCATATATTAGTGTTGTCTTCCATAGAAGAAATAGGATTTACGAAAATACGGTTTTTCCATCAATACATTTTAGTGAAGAGCAACTTATTTATGGCGATGTCTGTGATATTATCTGTATATTAGGGTTGAAAATTTCTTCAGACTAAATAGAGAAATATTGAGATGATGATGAGATGATGATCCCCAACAAATACAGTATTTCGGAGTTTCGTATTAAATGTTAACATCTACATAATAATATAAATCACTCTTGATTGGAATTCCATAAATCCAATTCTCTCTATAATATCATTTGGTTGGAAGAAAATATTAAGGTTACAAAGTAGTTTATTCTCATAATATACTCTTCAAATTTTATCGTTTTAATATACAAAATTCGTCATACGCTCTGTGGTTACAACCCTTATTGGAGCAGATCTTGGAGATCAGAGAGTGTGTCTTGATTTTTCGAACCATTAAGCCGTGTCCCTAAAGTACTATTATCCTATTACTCTGAGAAAAATGACATGGCTTTTTTATATTTATTAAAATCTAAGGCAAAATAATTATTTTTCAACCGCTGTATTTGTAAGTGTAGAGTTCTAAAATGTAAAACTGACTTTGAATAATATTAAATAAGCCATAGATTAAACTCAAACTCAAACATTTATTGCTAAACCATAATGTAAAAAATATATTATCCTATACCTTTAAACGAGCAATTCTTGTATATATATAATATATATATAATTGGAACCTCGCAAACGGCTCTAACGATTTTCATAAAATTTAGTGTCCAGGTAGTTTCGGGGGCAATAAATCGATCTAGCTAGGATTTATTTTTAGAAAATGTCTGTCCGTGTTTTCAGGCAATGAAAAACTGCTACAATATAAGAAGGTAAATTTTGACACTGTGTTAATGATCGTAATAGCTCAAGTGGATATCGAGCGGTCGCGAAATTGTAATGCCTTGGTTCGCGTTCTGTCTTCGGTCCGACTTTTTTCCTTTTTTTTTTCAAGTTCCCTTCTTTTGTGAGAAAATCTATTATTTCGAGCCCTTTTTTTTAGTACTTTCTAAAAATACGAAACTTTTGATTAAGCTAATTGCACTCACGATTTTCATTCAAATAACCAGTACAGTTTTTTTCTATTATGTCAATAAGATCAAAAAATATTATTCATGTAATTTGTATCTAAATGTAACTTAAAAAAAAACCGAGCAAAGCTCGGTCATCCGGGTACTAAAATATTATGAGACCAGTGTTATGGACCCTTTTGGGCACGCAATTTAAGGGCTAGGAGAGAGGAAGCGAATTTTAACTAATTATAAGAATGTCATGTGGTTTATTGAAATATAATTCAATTTAAATGAGTGATTACCTAATTAATGTAACTGGTATGATGAAGCAACAATTTGTGTGCTACTCAAGGTGTCCACTGTATTGAAAGGGACGAATTGAGTAATGCCATATCTTTCATAATTTTCTGTTGAAAGTATATTTGATGTTTTTAGGCACTGTCGATTTATTTCCAATTATAGCAAATATAACGCTTGATAATATGTTTAGGAATCAAACAAAGAAACATTACATTACATTAATACGCTTTAGTTTGGTCATCAGTCTCTCTAAAATAAGTCACTCATTATTATCATACAATTATCAATTTTCTCTAAGAATAGCACAACGAAATAGTTTTTTTTACAAAAATAGTCAAAACATAAGCACGTGCCGGCTATTTGCACAGTACTAGATGATGCAATAACATGTCAGGTGTGGCCGGGAAGCGAGGAGCAGGGTCCGGCGCTAATCCCGCGCGCTTTGTGGTATCAAGTTTCGACATAAATTGGTCAGGTACTGAGATGATACTGCCGAATAATGTTCGGCCGAATATTCGGTTCGGTAAAATTTTTACCGAACGTTCGGCCGAATATTCGTATTCGGTAAAATCCATATTCGGCCCATCTCTAATTAAAATGCATATGATTTTTAAAGAAACAGTGTAATAATCACAAAACTTGTATGTCTGAGCAAATAATTAGAAAGAAATTTATACAAAGTGGCCTAAAAACTATTATTCCATGTAAGGCTGTTTATCCCTGTGTAATTCACGCATTTTTACGCTTTGAAAATACGAGAGAAAATCCTTATATGGTTGTAACTTCTTATTGTGTTTGGGTTTTGCTTTTTGTGGGATGGTATTTTTCGTTTGGACCGAGATAAGAAATAAGGATTTACAAAGAATAATATCAATTATATTATTATATTATTCGGAATGTACAATGATTTGTAAAAGGCGTGATGGTGGCACTTCTAACAAATAGTCGTTTACGGTGGGCACAACATAATCCCATAGCGCTTCGACTATTGTACTATAATATTCCTCAAGAATTTGAGCGCCTTCAGTATTTAGTAATGTATTAATTGGCCATGAACTGTTCTCGAGATCAGCCTGAAAATATAAAACAAAATTGTTTACATATGTTGTTGCACATAATTTCAGATGGACTGTAAGTTCATTTACTTTACTTTAGTTATTTCCATAGCATTATGTAGTATGATATTTTGCTATGGGAACACGCGACTGACACTGAAATTATATTTATTTTACAGAAGAGGGCTATTAGAGCAATATATAATTTAAAACCAAAAGAGTCACTGAGACAAAAATTAAAGGAAATTAATGTATTAACTCTGGCCTCTCAATACATTTATGAAAATGTAATGTACGTACACAAAAATAAAAGTAGTTTTGCGAAAATAAGTGATATTCATCTGTAAATATCTAGGAACAGACACAAGCTATAATAATTAATTATAGCTTGTGTCAGTAATTCATTCTTGGGGCGATGTATACGCTTTTACAACAAAATCCCAGAAAATATACAAAATTTGTCATACACAAAGTTCAAAAATGTTATTAAACTAAGTTTGTATAAAAAGGGTTACTATAATATTAAGGAATTTAAGGATGATAATAACCCCTGGGAAGGGGTGATCGCTACCAAGCTATTTCTAATTTGTCTTGTGTTGCTAATTGTAAACATGATAGTAAGCTATTATTGAAAAAAATAGTCCCGCTGGGTTTCTTGCTGGTTCTTCCCAGAACAGAGGTTTTTTTGTGAACCAGTGGTAAATGAAAAAAGTGACTTTCAATAAGTATTTTTATAATCTACATTGAATAAAAAAGTTTCTGTTTCTGTTTCATTTGACTCTTCATTCTTATAAAAAAAACGCCGAAATACACAGCAGACATGCATACGCTCTTCAATTATAATATCTAAATGCACTGAGTGTTTGGTGGAGCATGTAGTGTATCACAACTGAGACTTCGGGTAAGGCCTGAATCATGAGCGTTAGGCGGAGCGGAGCATTCGGTGTTCATGACAAACATATGATCCATCGCCGTGTTCTGAGTAGCAGTTGCCTTAAAGTTTAACGAGATTTACTTTATATGGGCTTATTTGGAAATTTCATGCTATAAAAAATTCAATGTAATCTTGACAAATAGTGGGAAAACATCACAAGAGACCGAGTTCTACAACATGGTTTTTGGAGTTGAACTGTAACGGAAGGATTGCTTATAATTTGGTTCTCTTTATCTGTCTGAATGTTTCACTCCATCATTACTTATAACAGATATATCGGTAAATCTGTCCTAAAAAATTCGTTGTAATTTCCCGATAAATTTAAAGGATTACAATCTTTTAGTGGATATCTCAATTTGAAGGTAAGCAAATACTACACCTATATGTTTAAACGTAGGTACTTTTCATTTAGCACTAATATGTACTACTGCATTGATAAATGAAAGGACAGAGAGTTAAATGTGTTTACTCGTACCTCTATTTCTTTCACATCGAAGTTTAATAAGAAATCTTGAATTCTTGTACCGCCTCCATCAGATGTAAAACGCACCGTGGCTGTAATTATAGAATTCCGGAAGACTATACTGTAATTCATAAATGAAATGTAGATTAATTCTATTTATATATTTTATTTTATTTTAAAACAATTTTCTTTTGAAGATTTATAAAACTTACTTCATTTTCCCCGATCCTCTAAGTGGATATACATAATATGCCCGGCCGTACAATTTATAATGTTCTGAAAACAGCACACGTTAGTATTTTTCTAGATTATTATACTGCTCTACCTTTCCTTCTTAACACTCTTTCAGAAGAAAGATAACGCTGGGACCTAAATTAGCTATTACTTTTCTATTTTTAATTTTCCTTATCTACGAGGAAGAAAAATAAACATATTATGTATCTGTTTGATTTCCTAATGTGGTAACACTGACAAAAATTCACAATACCAAGAAACAAATCTTAGAAACACTATGGTTTCGTTTACACCAGACGTTAAATACTCGGACTAGCGATGGGAAGTAGCGTCCAAAGTGTCAGAACGTTTGGTATTACGACTATTATTCGCCTACAAAGTGTGACGATTTAGGCAAACCAGCACCACGACTAGAAAGATCTACGTCTAGAAGTGGAATTTTCCATAAGGACGAGTAAATTGCTTCTATTTTTGTACATACGTGGTAGAGCCACGCTGCAGCTATATTATGGTTGTAACACGATCGGCTCGACCAGGGAGAGACTACGCTCTCAAGGAATGCTCTCACACAATGTTTTTACGTGGTAAAGCCACGCTGCAGCTATATTATGGTTGTAACACGATCGGCTCGACCAGGGAGAGACTACGCTCTCAAGGAATGCTCTCACACAATGTTTTTACGTGGTAAAGCCACGCTGCAGCTATATTATGGTTGTAACACGATCGGCTCGACCAGGGAGAGACTACGCTCTCAAGGAATGCTCTCACACAATGTTTTTACGTGGTAAAGCCACGCTGCAGCTATATTATGGTTGTAACACGATCGGCTCGACCAGGGAGAGACTACGCTCTCAAGGAATGCTCTCACACAATGTTTTTACGTGGTAAAGCCATGCTGCAGCTATATTATGGTTGTAACACGATCGGCTCGACCAGGGAGAGACTACGCTCTCAAGGAATGCTCTCACACAATGTTTTTACGTGGTAAAGCCACGCTGCAGCTATATTATGGTTGTAACACGATCGGCTCGACCAGGGAGAGACTACGCTCTCAAGGAATGCTCTCACACAATGTTTTTACGTGGTAAAGCCATGCTGCAGCTATATTATGGTTGTAACACGATCGGCTCGACCAGGGAGAGACTACGCTCTCAAGGAATGCTCTCACACAATGTTTTTACGTGGTAAAGCCATGCTGCAGCTATATTATGGTTGTAACACGATCGGCTCGACCAGGGAGAGACTACGCTCTCAAGGAATGCTCTCACACAATGTTTTTACGTGGTAAAGCCATGCTGCAGCTATATTATGGTTGTAACACGATCGGCTCGACCAGGGAGAGACTACGCTCTCAAGGAATGCTCTCACACAATGTTTTTACGTGGTAAAGCCATGCTGCAGCTATATTATGGTTGTAACACGATCGGCTCGACCAGGGAGAGACTACGCTCTCAAGGAATGCTCTCACACAATGTTTTTACGTGGTAAAGCCACGCTGCAGCTATATTATGGTTGTAACACGATCGGCTCGACCAGGGAGAGACTACGCTCTCAAGGAATGCTCTCACACAATGTTTTTACGTGGTAAAGCCATGCTGCAGCTATATTATGGTTGTAACACGATCGGCTCGACCAGGGAGAGACTACGCTCTCAAGGAATGCTCTCACACAATGTTTTTACGTGGTAAAGCCACGCTGCAGCTATATTATGGTTGTAACACGATCGGCTCGACCAGGGAGAGACTACGCTCTCAAGGAATGCTCTCACACAATGTTTTTACGTGGTAAAGCCATGCTGCAGCTATATTATGGTTGTAACACGATCGGCTCGACCAGGGAGAGACTACGCTCTCAAGGAATGCTCTCACACAATGTTTTTACGTGGTAAAGCCATGCTGCAGCTATATTATGGTTGTAACACGATCGGCTCGACCAGGGAGAGACTACGCTCTCAAGGAATGCTCTCACACAATGTTTTTACGTGGTAAAGCCATGCTGCAGCTATATTATGGTTGTAACACGATCGGCTCGACCAGGGAGAGACTACGCTCTCAAGGAATGCTCTCACACAATGTTTTTACGTGGTAAAGCCATGCTGCAGCTATATTATGGTTGTAACACGATCGGCTCGACCAGGTAGAGACTACGCTCTCAAGGAATGCTCTCACACAATGTTTTTACGTGGTAAAGCCATGCTGCAGCTATATTATGGTTGTAACACGATCGGCTCGACCAGGGAGAGACTACGCTCTCAAGGAATGCTCTCACACAATGTTTTTACGTGGTAAAGCCATGCTGCAGCTATATTATGGTTGTAACACGATCGGCTCGACCAGGGAGAGACTACGCTCTCAAGGAATGCTCTCACACAATGTTTTTACGTGGTAAAGCCATGCTGCAGCTATATTATGGTTGTAACACGATCGGCTCGACCAGGGAGAGACTACGCTCTCAAGGAATGCTCTCACACAATGTTTTTACGTGGTAAAGCCATGCTGCAGCTATATTATGGTTGTAACACGATCGGCTCGACCAGGGAGAGACTACGCTCTCAAGGAATGCTCTCACACAATGTTTTTACGTGGTAAAGCCACGCTGCAGCTATATTATGGTTGTAACACGATCGGCTCGACCAGGGAGAGACTACGCTTTCAAGGAATGCTCTCACACAATGTTTTTACGTGGTAAAGCCATGCTGCAGCTATATTATGGTTGTAACACGATCGGCTCGACCAGGGAGAGACTACGCTCTCAAGGAATGCTCTCACACAATGTTTTTACGTGGTAAAGCCATGCTGCAGCTATATTATGGTTGTAACACGATCGGCTCGACCAGGGAGAGACTACGCTCTCAAGGAATGCTCTCACACAATGTTTTTACGTAGTAAAGCCATGCTGCAGCTATATTATGGTTGTAACACGATCGGCTCGACCAGGGAGAGACTACGCTCTCAAGGAATGCTCTCACACAATGTTTTTACGTGGTAAAGCCATGCTGCAGCTATATTATGGTTGTAACACGATCGGCTCGACCAGGGAGAGACTACGCTTTCAAGGAATGCTCTCACACAATGTTTTTACGTGGTAAAGCCATGCTGCAGCTATATTATGGTTGTAACACGATCGGCTCGACCAGGGAGAGACTACGCTCTCAAGGAATGCTCTCACACAATGTTTTTACGTGGTAAAGCCATGCTGCAGCTATATTATGGTTGTAACACGATCGGCTCGACCAGGGAGAGACTACGCTCTCAAGGAATGCTCTCACACAATGTTTTTACGTGGTAAAGCCATGCTGCAGCTATATTATGGTTGTAACACGATCGGCTCGACCAGGGAGAGACTACGCTCTCAAGGAATGCTCTCACACAATGTTTTTACGTGGTAAAGCCATGCTGCAGCTATATTATGGTTGTAACACGATCGGCTCGACCAGGGAGAGACTACGCTTTCAAGGAATGCTCTCACACAATGTTTTTACGTGGTAAAGCCATGCTGCAGCTATATTATGGTTGTAACACGATCGGCTCGACCAGGGAGAGACTACGCTCTCAAGGAATGCTCTCACACAATGTTTTTACGTAGTAAAGCCATACTGCAGCTATATTAGTAGCATAATTGTAGCACGAATGAGTCGGCTCGATCGGTGAAAGACAACGCACGCGCAGATTACCAGCGTAAAATAGCAGCTTAACGCTGCTGTGTTTCGTGTGGTGAGTGTAGAGAACCGGAGACCCTTTATACTGGAATGCGTCGAGCATTCTATCTTAGTCCTCACAGGTGACAACACATTTGCATTTTGATTCGTAATAGAGGATATATGTCTATGGGCTATAGCAACTACTTAACGTCAGGTATACTGTGTGCTAGTTTGTCACACTTCTCCTATAAAAACAAAACAAAATGCCGGCGTATAATACCAACTTAATTCTGTTGTGTTTCTCATGGTGAGTATAAAGAACTGGAGACCTTTTTTTCTGGAAACGAGGCGTTCCATCTTAGTCCTTAAGGGTGACAACGCATTTTGATTCTCAATTGAGTTGAGGATAAATGTAGATGTCTATGGGCATCCACTTACCATCAGGTGGACTGTGTGCTAGTTTGTTACCCTATTTCATAAAACTAATATAAGGAGCTGCAGCACTGTAATTATTTCTGCAAAGTTGCTTCCAATTATTAAAAATGCTTTGATGAGTTGGCAGAACCAAAAAAACTCATGTCAACGTAATGTTACGTACATGAGTATTGCTATCGCTGCACCAAGCGTAAATGCCTGCATGCAGCAAACGCCCACGAATTCGTCAATGGTCTAGTTGCCATGAACGTGACTGTTGATCATGTAAGCCGGGGTTCAAATCCTGGGTCGGGCAAAAATCTCTGTCAAGAAATTCTCAGCAGCAACTCAGAGTCAGAAAATTGACAGTGTTTCTTCACCGCCATACCTCGGAAAGCACGTAAAGCAGTTAGCCCAGAGCCTGATTTCTCCTCAGTCGTATCGAATTTCTGTCCTATCGGGCTATGATATTGAGTAAATACATTACTTAATAAATAATAGTTAAATATTTTTGTAACTTACTTTTAAATAAAAATACATGTATATCTATATAATTTATATAAAACAAAGCATACCTGAACGAAGGGTTAAGACCGGAAATAGCAATGTTAAAGACACTTCTAACGTTTTTTCTGACGCAGCAATATTTTCGATAGAAAATTGGTTGAGACCAGTCAGTTCCATATCACCAATGGAGTAATCCATCCTGAGTTTAAAATATTTCAAAACAGCTTGAATTAAAGTTGCAATTAAAATACTTTAATAGATAAGCAAATGAAATAAGAAAGTATATTTACTGTTTTAAATTTCAGAAGTCATTAATATCTAAGACATTCTTATTGTGAGTGTAGAGAATCGGTGACCCTTTTAACGAGACACGAGACATTCCATCTTACTCTTCATGTCTGGCATCGCATGGGCCACAGCATCCACTTACCATCAGCTGGACTGTGTACGCGTTTGTCACCCTTATTCTACAAAAAAATAGGTTAGGTTAGGTTTCTTTGATGTCCTAGCCTATCTCTAATACCTGCAAGAAAATAACTTACTCCTTTTTAAAAGGTTAAAAACGCACCTGCGTTCGCTGTGGTGTTGCAGATGTTCATGGGTGGCCTTAGTTACTGACCTTCAGGTAAGCCGCGTGTTCCTTTACTTCATAGGGCGTGGGATAAGAATTGGGGACCCTTTTTTAATAAAAACGAATTACATAGACCTTAAAGAGAAGACCTCAGGAGTGACAACACTACTGTACTGTACAAGGATAGACGTAGATAAATGTATACGTATATTATGGTCGTATACATTACTTATAAGAACATTATCTATAGGTGTCTGCAGAGTCTGCCATAACCTTTAGGTGCGCAGCATTCACTTACCATCATGTAAACTGATAGTTTATTTGTCACTCTTTTAATATAGGAAAACAAATAGAATGATAAGAACAAAACTTACTTAATTCCTCTACCTTGGTAGTTGTATTGAACTGGTGGTATTTTTAAAGACTTTAGCGACGGAATTGATAACACATCTGCTTGCCATTTCGTCAAAAAACTGAGAATATTCTTCTCCAAAGGGTTTCTTGCTAAAATAAAGAATTAAGTAGCGTAAGCGGTAGTAACTGAGTAGTACCGTAAGGAGTGTTAGCCGCTCCCCGGACTGAACACCTGGCCTAACGGGGATTTCTCCTTTTCCTTCCACGGCTAAATAGGGGACTATGAGACCTGATATGAACACCGCAACCTGCAACCTTCGGAAACTCTAACTTCAAGAATTTCATTATTTTCCTCAAGAATCTCTACCTCAACGAACTGGGCTTATAACATGTGGTTAAATACTTAATATATTAACATATATATATATATAAGAATTTTCAACGCAATAATGATAAGTAATTACATCTTGTTATCGTTTAGATAGGCATATATGACTGTTTTGAGTATAAGCAATACAAATCTACATTTATAGTTCTGAATTAAATAAATATCAATATTTGCACATCATATTTTCCCTTGATATACGCATAACGATGTACGAACACGTAATCATATAAAGCAATAAATAAAAACAACTATATTTCTAAGTGTATTAATGTCTGATTTGCGACTGTCTCTGACTTCGCACGGGTCATTTTTGTATCTTGACAACAGCGCTACCTAACGGGTCCAATTGTAAAACTAAACCATTTAGGGGTGATTGGAAATCTAAACCATCAACCACCCACACAAACGCATACAAAAAATTTCATCAAAATCTGTCCAGTCGTTTAAGAGGAGTTCAGTGGCAAATACACGTATAGAAGAATTATATAATATTAAAAATCATATATACATAATATAATGAGTATAGAAGATAAATAGATAAATTTATAATAATTTGCGTCTGTTTTTCCATCAAAAACACACATACAAAAAAATCTTCAAAATTGGTCCAGTAGTTTAGGAGGACCTCAGTGGCAAACACACATATAAAAGAATTATATAATATCAATAATTATATATACATATGAGTATAAAAGATAAATAGATAAATGTATAATAAGTTTGGTCTGTTTTTCCATCTGATTATAAAATTGGTGTCAACAAGGCAAGGGCGAAGGCTTTTTTTTCGCTAAGACAGTGCAATTTACTATTTAGGGCTTAATCACCACCACCATGTAGGATGTGGTCATGCACTGTCTTCTTATATGTCAGAAAAAGCGCTGACTCCGAGCAATCATAACTTATTCTTTGCCGGCATTGATATACCACCTGCTCAGTGAAGAAGGAAACCACCGTGAGGCATTGTCTGGAGAATGAAAATATTTTCGAGGACGTGAAGTCTAATTGATTGGATTAACATAACCATTTCAGAAATGAGAAAAGACAGAAAGACATAATAAATAGAGTGTTTACTTTCAGTAAACTGGCGATTTCCTTTCTATTTGTCTCGTACTTGCTGTTGTGTTCCTTGCTGGATTCTTACGATTTGATTGACATAGTTTTTTACATGAAAAGGCTACATTGCAGCTGTATCATAGCTTCAGATCAAATGTATCATCTCGACTAGGGTAAAAGCAGCATTAGGTGTCGTAAGAGGAGAAACTGAAACTTAAGATGCGCGGCAACATCTGCCTGATGACTTGAAAAATAAACAGCGGGCGTCAACTAGCCTACCAAGCGTGGCAATTGTGGCAAAATCCCCCTATGAGGCGATCATAGGAGGCCTATGTTCAGTGGATGTGCTGTAATGGATGGATGAATGGAAGCAGCATCAATACTGCCGTGTTTCGTATGTGACATAACGAGAATCGGTTAAGGTAAAAGTAATCGGTTTTAAGTTAACCTAAAAATTATTCAATTTTAAGTCCAGTTTCATACTAAGAAATAAAAAAAAACCTATTAAATGTAAAAATAGAAGTATTTTTTATCGATGAAGGCTTAAGTCTTAAACTAATTATCATATTGGTACTTTAAACTAAAGATCAACTAAACCCTTAAACACATAAAAGTTTTAACACTAATGGCAAATATTCTTAAAAACCTAGTACTCACGTATAGTTCGTCCATTGATTGCAACAGCGAACAATAAAATCATCCACATATAATAAGACATGACAAATATGAAACAGGTATAGCGCAACAATATCTCTCAACTGACTGAACGTTATCATTTGTAGAGTCTTTCGTTTATATACTGTAATCATAAACCTGAATGTTTACGATATTTGCTAAATTACAAAACATGGAAATATTCGCTAATCCTAAATTAATGACGGATTGTAATTAATTGCCCTTTCGGATGATTGAGACCACCTACACTATACATAAAACATATTTTTCTTCTTAGAAAATATTTTAATGTTGCGACGTGAAATGGCGGCACAAGACAAAACCACGACTCTGAGTCATCCCGTGGATTACGTAAGGGGAGTAGGACGAAACTAGATTACGGGCAACAGAATTTTTCTGAACTTTTTTTGCTGACAAGAATGCATAAAGCCTAAGACCTTACTTGTGACGCGTCTGGGGTCGCAGGCTGATGATATGACAACACATTTCTAATAAAACCTAATGACAATAAAACAGCGTGGTTGCAGACTCTCCTGCCAAGCGTGGCAACTATGGCAAACATGCAAAGCAGTAGACTTTAGATAGGATATGAATGAATTTATAATGTTCTTTATCTAAAGCATTCTTATGAAAACAATACTGGGAACGAGGCATTTCATTTTAGTCCTCAGCGGTGACAACGCGTCTTAATTCTGAATTTTAATCTTGTAATTAAATTTAGATATTTATGAGCCAAGGTATCTACTTACCTTCTGATAGACTGTGTGCTCGTTTGTGACACTTATTCTATAAAGAAATATGTGGAAGAGGACTAAATTTGCAGATCTTCCACTGGAGCTAAGAAGGGTGGTGCTTAGAGGTTCACGTTTTTTTTGTCTAATGGTACCGCAGATGTGTGTGTAAGCGTTCAACTAGCCTTTTCAATATGCGGCGAATGTGGAACACCATTGGGTTTTAGTCGATGCAAGTCGTCGTCGTAACTCGTCCTCTCCCACGCGATGCGGGTATGCGAAGATATTTCACCATGTAAAAAAAATGGTTAGCCAAGACTTATAGTTTACACTATCATACTCACAAATATAAGACCCTGTGGCTTAATTATAAAAAAATCTCATTTGTGTGTGTTATCTGTTATTTATATCTAGACGTGTGTAATAGGTGTGTTCGACTTAAGCTTTTTAAATTTTGAAGATTATCATAGTACAGATAATGATTTTGTAATAAAAAAACTACAATATCTTTTCATAATAATTAAGTAAATACTCCTGTTAAATAATTCAAGTTGCTTAAAATGCAGTTGGCGAAAGTCGGATGGCGGTATCGAACCAAAACTTTCCAAGCTTGCGGTCTGCATCCTTAACCATTAGGCCACGCCACTGTTAATTTAAAGGTACATATTTGTTACCACATGAGAAAAAAACATTCTGTACAAACAAATAGTTTGGTTTAACGTAATCTGCTTAGTATTAACTACTTCTCGAATTTTAGGCCAAGGCAACTGCTTAGTATTTGTTACAGATAGATAAGAACATTAAGATAACATTTAAAAATATCCGTGCTAATGATCATATCCATTTAAAGAGTTAAAATGAGCACTTTTAAAAAAGTAATTGGGTAACCGATGTAGGCTAAAGAACATGTAAAACTTTAATTACATAGCTGACTAAAAGGAACACTGATACATTTGTGAATATTTTGTTAAATATTAAAATTAGTTCTTCATAAACAGTAAAGCAATTTTCCTACAATTACAAACTATACGGCTGTATAACTAACGATTTCTAATATTTACGTAAATTCTGCACAATTATTAAAACTAATATTACAATTTTTATTATATTGTATTTATCTTAATAACTTTTTAATTCCCGGTGTTTTGAGTTCTTTGCTCTCAGAGTGGAGAATATAATTATGGAACAATTTAATGAAGACAAAAAACATAAGGCAAAAAACATTTTGCTAGCGTAAATCACGCTTCGGAAAACCTGAAATCTGTAAACATGTTTCGGAACGCCACGTCAACGAATAAAGTGAAATTTGATAGACTATAAATACTCTCAAAGGGATAATCGTGAGGTCGTTGAAAAAGAAAAACAAGAATTACACTAGACAAGATGGATGGATCCTATCAGCTGCTTAGGATCTTACAATTAATAAAATAAAATCCAAACCCCAAGCATACCACTACAAGGCGTCCAAGATAATGATTGTAAGTTGATTCCTCATAAGTCGGTCCAAGTTAACTAGCATCAGATCTTTGTGTAACTCATTCCCCTGCGATCATGGGCGCTGCAAAACACTAGATAAGCGGGCATTCGAAAATAAGTGAATATAAATCGTGATGATAATTCATTGAATAAACTTTATTTATTGTGTACTTTATTTGAAATCGCAATACGATTTTATTTATTTCAACTTCAATTAAATAATACGTAAGAATCTAAAGTTTCCTTTATAGTTTAAACAAAGAACATTTAAAAATACAAAAAAGCTATTTTGTATTGACAACCCTCTTTTTATTGTAGTTTACTATCAGCAATTTCGAATACGGGAAGATATGTTCCTACGAATTATGAATGCTTTATAAATTAAGAATAAATATCGAATGCAACATCACATACAGCACATGTCATTATGGGCATAAATTCGAAAAGATGTTGAACTCCTTTTCTCATATTATCTTTTATGTGCACTCCACAGCTAGATAAGATTCTCTCTCGTACTGGTGTCTAGTGTTATACCAGTATACTGTCTCATTGCTCTAGTGGTAGTCAGCGCGACTGCTAGTCATAAGATTCCAGGACGGGCCAAAATCGGTTATTTGGTATTTTCTTTTTAAGTTTGGGTTTGTCTCGGAATATCTTCGCGTCATCTGTGCCGTCGTACTCGTGTCGGATTGCCGTTCCATCGGCCTAAGAGAGTGTGGTAATGAAAAGTAGACATGATCACACATTAGAGGCGCTATAATCCGATCTTACGCAGATGGCTAGTATGCGTAGAGACTGGCCGCAGTGATCCAAACCCGCTCTGAATGACGTCATTATCATTACTTATCTATATGTACATGGTAAACTCTGCTATAATCTTAAATGAAATGGGAGTTATATTTATGATGTTTTGGATATTTGTAACAGCTTCATCGCATATCGGTATCATCTTCCGCGAATATCCGCTATAAAATAATATTTAAGACGTAGTAGTATATATATATATATATATATATATATATATATATATATATATATATATATATATGTGTGTGTGTGTGTGTGTGTGTGTGTGTGTGCATGTGTATATTATATATATATATATATATATATATATATTAATATCTTTAAATATTTTTGTATACGTATAGGCTCCTTAAAATATAGATGTCTTGTACATTTTATTGTGTTTTATACTAAATAGAAAACTATTTTTAGATGAGTTTAGTGAATACCAAAGACGTAATACTTACGATAGAAATTGTACTAAAAAAATCTGATCCACCTGCACATATGAAATTGTAACTTCCAATTTTAAGTGCTGATTCACCACGTGCTCGGCGGTGACGAGAAACTTCGTAAAGACAACTACATGCCTAGGGTAAAATATCTCGAACGCACGTGGTGTACGTTAAAATGCACTGAAGCAACACAGCGGTGTGTTTGTTCCATAATCTTCCCAGTAATGAGAGGAATATGCCCTGCAGTGGAACCTATATACGTAGGCTGTAACTTATCTTTACTGTAACACGGAAACACACTTTACTTACCAGTATTATAAAGTATGTCACTATTTCTATTTCAGTTTCTTTTTCACACTAGTATTTTCTCCTGTTCCGTATAGTTCACAAACATAAATTTCACATGAACAAACATCCAGACCCGGTACAATTATTTGCAGACCATATAAATACTTGGTTAAATACCGTAGCCCTTGGCGCTGCAACTCATTGCTAAGTCACTGCGGCACGGAGTTGTCTCACTAACTACCTACATCTGACTATATATCCATACACTATCTAACTACCTATCCATACACTATCTCATCTGTAACTCTATTGTAAAGTATTCGAAGTTATAGTTTTCAAAGAACTTTGTTATGAACAGGATAAAATTGTATTAAAACGGAATACATTTGTAGGGGAGCAGCTTTTACAATCAGTGTATCGTATCTTTTTAAACAAGGCAAACGTGAATCGTTGTTGTCGTTACACAAGAAAGTAAAAATGCTTTATTTGCCTTATTTTTATTATATATTAATGCCTGTTGTATGACTATTACCTAAATGTCTTGTTGAATAAATTATATGTCATTTTATAACAAAAATAAATTTAAAAAAGGGAGAATAGATATTGGGTGAAAGTTAGAGAAAAAACTGGGATTATTTATTTTGGACAGCAGAATAACAAATGCTTTTTTCCAAAGTATAGGAAAATCCCCAGTCAATAGTGAATGATTAACGATGTGAGTAATAACAGGAGTTACATTGTCTAAAATTAAGGTGATCACGAGTCTATTCACATCATTGAAGCCAACTGTCATAGACTTTATACAATAAATGGTCTTTTTTATATCCTCATCAGCAACGGGAGAAAAATCAAATGTGCAGTTATGAGATTCTGGCATGGAATGCAAATAAGAAATAGTAGTTGATTTAACAGAATCCTGCAATTGGGTAGTTGAAGAAAAATGTAAGTTGATTACTTATAGAAATAATTGCAGGGTCCACGTTACATGTAGTTTTACTGACCCCGATCGTGCGGAGATATTTCCATGTATCAGCCATTGAAGAGTGCATGATATTATGGTGAATATAGTGGCGTTTAGCGGCTCGTACCATCTGATTACATCGATTTCTCGCAGCAAATTGGGGAAACAAGTATTTGGTATTAGTGTTTTTTTTCCTTACGCCTAGTTCGTGGTACTTCACTGCGTATGTTTCCAGGCTCTCTCGAAACCTTGGTTTCTTCCATCACCGGTTGAGGATCCTCATCACATCTGGCCTTGCTATGTTCGCGTACCAGCCCGTTGAGGTCCGCATTGCATTGGATACACT